AATTCAGGTCAAATGTTTATTTTATATTCAACCATAATTTTTTTACAAAAACGTCACTATTTTGCAAACAATTCTTAAATGCCTAGGCCATAAAGAACTAAATAAGTTTCAAAGGCACTTCACCAAAATTATACGAATATTTTCCTATTCATCTATTTCTCATCACTCAACCCTACTTTGGAAAACAAAGAAATATATTTATGGGTTTATCTAACAACCCTAGCTAACCAGATGAGAGCATCTATTTTTTTTTCTCAAGGAAATCTTCATTATCTGATGGCTTATGTGACAATAAAGTGTCTGAAAACTTTATAAACAGTAAGGTCTCCACACAGACACCAACAGGCATTTGGAGAGAACTACACCAGTCAATCAGTAAGGTCTGTTTTGTTCTCTGGGAATTAGAGATATAGAACTACTATTCACCAACATCAGAACAATGGAGTAGAGTTTAAAAAAAAAAAAAAAAAAAAAAAAAAAAAAAAAAAAAAAAAAAAAAAAAAAAAAAAAGGAAGAGACTAACTTAAAAAGAAATGGAAATGAAAAAAGTTGCTACATTTACCAAAATGTTTTAATTTAGCTTTAAAATAAATATCCTATCATAACAGTTTTGACTAGCAGAGCAACAGCACTTTAAGGACTTTCAGATAGTGACTATTTTTGAGGTTAGGACAGGCTTTTAAAAGTTTAGCAAGATGTCTTTTCAATTTTCCCTTTTTGTTTGATAATTTTTGCTTACCTGATGAAAATAAAAAATAATTTCCAGACAATGAAGAAACATTTCCATTAACACTTAATTATTGAACAATTAGGCAATTACTTTTCTAACTTTTGTCTGCAGCTCTGACAACAGGATGAGAGGCTTTAACAAAGCCTTTTAAAATTTCATTTGATCACTTCTAAGTGCAAATCTGACAATGACTTTATTGCTTTCTTGCACAAAAACAATCACACGTACACTTAAATCCCTTGATTTTGTGCTTTGCTTTTATTGGACAATATTTAAATTTTTTTTAATATTTTTACACTGATATAAAGCCAATATTGTTGCATATATCACATGACTCAACTCTTCCTTTTTTTAAATCTGAAAAATCTTGCAGGTAAATAAGATCATGATAAAAATTTAACACAAGAATGAAAATTTGGTTTCATTATTCTGTTTATTATTTTGATTTACTTTTGTTACTAAATAAGTAAGCTTAGTTACATCTGATACAAAGTCATAAGTGGGTGACATGTCATGGGGGATTGGATTCACCACGAGTAAGTAGTCGGCAAGAAATCTATAAGAATGAAGGCACTTCATCTCAGAATGAGAAAAGTTGGGTTGTGATTGAATTTTTCTTTATACTTTTTCTGATTAATAAATACCAAAAAAAAAAAAAAAAAAAAAAAAAAAAAAGATGGATCCAGAATACCTTTCCAAAAGTTTGATCCTCACTTGGTGCCCCCATGATTATGCCAAACAAAGTTCAATAAATATGTAAAACATGACGGAGCAACTTAATGTTAATGTCTCAATTTTCAGCAGTTTTTCCATATGATTGAATACATTGGATTAAGTTCAAAAAGGAACTTCAGATATAAATAGTATGTCTGAGAATTAAAGAAACAAACTCATTTCACAGAGGTACCTTAAATCTACAAAGTGTAAAAGTAAATTCAAAGGTGTGAACTTCATTTTGGATTTGCAATGTCACCACATTTTCTGTCACTTGTAAGTCATTTTCTATCAAATTCTCTACATTTCATGTCAAATTTTATTGTACAATTCAATGTTTTCATAATAAAATGCTATTTAGCAACCAATGTTGGTAAAAATTTCAGGATTTACTTTTATTTATATAAGTATACCATGTGTATTTCAGTTTATAAAATCTGTTATTGTTCAAAATATTTATAATATTTGCTGTGGTTATACAACTCTTTAGTTGTAGTTCATCTTAAAATAGTTATAAGAAAGTTCTAGATAGTTATTTTTTTAATATTAGATATATAAACCTTGCCATGGGTCGTAAAAAAGATATAACCTCAAAGAGATATTGTGAAGTGATAATTTCCATTATCACTTTTTATATTGAGGAAAAGTTGAGATCACAGAACAAACAAAAAAATCATTTTAAGAATGTCATAAGGGATTCTAGAAAAATCAAAAGGGTAATGATAAAATAAGTTGATTAACAAGCAAGAAAATGTATAAAATAACTGGTGTTGTAAATGTAAACAGAGAAAAGATGTTGAATGTTAAAAATGTTGGCTAAAGACATGAAAGCAGCTAAAGTACAACCTTTAAGTAATCATCACAAATGGAAACATAAATTGGACAAAATAAGTACAGGATAACGGATTTCTCAACAGTGATGTTTAGTGATGAAACTAAAAGTATATTGGGTGAACCTGGTGGTGTAGTCATTCATGGAAATGGTCTAATATTACTTAAAAGGCAACAACAGAGAGGTGGAATAATGTTTTTGGCAAGTGCTGTAAGTACTGTGGTCACTTCAAAGTTGATAGTATGAAGATAAACACAGAATTATTTTAAAATTTTGGCCAAGACATTTTTAGAGAGGCACATGTCACAACCAAAATCCTTTATGCTAATGTATATCTTCATGCTCTATGACAAGGCCCTATCACATGCTGCAAAGCTGACTATTGCTCACCTTGCAAAAAAATGAATTGAAAGACATCAAATGAATGGAATGGCTTCCAGCCTCTTCAGATATTAATCCAATAGAAAACCTGTGGCCCATCATAAGAGATGTACATGCCAATGGAAAATAATATTGTTGCATGTAATATTGAAGTTGAAATGGTAGAAAAGTTAACAAAATTAATTGCTGAAAGACTGATGAATGTTAAAGGGCTCATATTAAAAATGTAAAATAATGATTTATTCAGGTATATTTGATACTGTATTTTATATATAATTTCTGTCACATTATATTTTTTTGGATTTATTTATAAAGAACAAAATGCTTAACATAATAAAACCTGACACCCATAAAACAAAATTATAGATATATAGGTTCACATTATGCATTGTTCAAAATATTCTGAAAATGTTACCAACATCAATTTTCCATTAAAATCATTGATCTGTATAATAAAATCTGAACATGAACAAGAATACAAATGCTTTATATTTACTAAGATTAGTTTAACATGATGAGATTCAAATATTGTTTTCACCAAGTTTCCAAATTTTGAAAGGTTTGACTAGAATGCTGACCTTGCAAGACATACAACTCAACCATGAAGCAGGGGCCTTCCCACTTTGAAAAAAAAACAAAAAAAAAAAAAACAGCATTTTATACTGGCATTTCATATATCAAGAGAAATTTTTTCATTATTCCTTGTACAAAGACTAATCATCAATTATAGCAAAGAAAAATTGGTTGAAAAAGATGACAGGCATAGATATTGGCACATGGATATGCAAGGACATTTTTATCTTATTGTTTTATTTGTAGGTTTCATAATTTAATCATATTTATTCATAACTGATTTCTTAGATTCAAGTTCAACAATTCATGACAGTTCAGTAAATAATAGAAGGAATGAAAGAGGGTGTAGCAAAACCATTTTGATATTTCTCTTTAAGTAATTTTATAATTGCTGATTTACAGCTTGATGTTAAGATCTTTGGCAAAAAAGGGCAGATTTCTTTAAAGACTTTGAAAGGAATTTTGGTAATTTTTTTTAAAATTTTTGCATATGAACAGAATATGTTACATTGTCTTTAAAAAGAGTCATTAACATATCCAAGATTATTCAGTCACTTGAATCTCTTAATATCATTCCTGTTATTTACACAACATTTTAGTCAATCTGTTTTTCAACCCAAACATAGTGGAATATACAAAAGATGTTGCATTACATAATCATTTTTTAACAACTCAAGTTTTGAAAGGTAAATGAGTTTTTTGTTTGTTTAAAATATGAAACAAATTTTTCTCATTTCCAATAATATATATATATATATATATATATATATATATATATATATATATATAAAAAAATCACTTTCTTTACAACTGTTCTCGTGATGAATACTAGCAGGAGGTGCTGAAAAGTTCTCAGTTTGGCCAAAATGGAACTCCAAAACAAATTCTGATGGTTAATTATTTGGTCAGATATCAGGAAGTGGTAGAACCAAGAACTTTTCAGCACCTCCTTGTTGCTGTAATAAACAGCAAGTCAATTTTTTTCTTGTAGGAAGCTCAGAAAATATGGGTAGTGTGATATACATGAAAAAATAGATAACACACTTATGGCCCACTCTGTACATTTTGAGATATGTGTCAGTTTCAGTGTAATTAACACACACCTTTCAATATATAATAAATACGACAGTGTCATTAAAGCAGAGAAAGATCATTGGCGATTATTACACAACTTGTGTAATAATGAAATCACATCATCTCATAATATCAAAACTAAATGATCACCTGGGATTATTTTATCTTGTAAATTCTGCTTCATTACTTTTATAACAGCAGACAAACATAGCAAAGACCAGCAAAATTATAAACCCTTGTCATTTTTTCCTTTCATTTTCATAAGTTAAAAATTGTTAGTGATTTTTATTCACTATAAGTGAATAAGAATTGGTCTTTTATTATTATTATTTTATATACAAAATGAATCCTACTACCATTCAAATGCAAAATGGTAGACTAGTTAAATTTGTGTTGAATTTTTCAGCTAGCCATAAAACTAAAAATGAGATTTTACAGGTTGAAAATATTTTTGTCTTAATGATTAGATCAAAATCTGAATCTGATTCAAAGAATCTTTACAGATATGTGATTAGAAAAAACAAAACTGCATTTTTATCCAGGATACTGATGGAAAAATTGAAAGTTGTTAATTTTCACAAAGCAGACCCCCCAATAATTCAAACAAAGCACTCAACACAAACTGAGACACTCATGTTCAGACACTCATGTTCCTTGGAGAAAGAGAGAAATCCTTCAAATTCTTCTTTTTAAATGCTAAACAATCTGACAACCACATTTAATACATGTGTCTGATTTATTGTTATGTTGTTCTATATCTTGTGCTGCCCGTATAAGTCTGTGAATTACTGTCTGTATGCCCAAATCCATTAGGGCTGAACATTCCACATAACAATGAGCACCCAATCTGTCTGCCATTTTGCTTCCTTCTGCAGATGTAACAATATGTTTGGTTAAGGGACTAGGAGCTGGACGCAAATCTGTCTGTGTACCAACTAACAAGAATGGAGTCTCAGGAAGGTAACGCCGAATTTCAGGAAGCCAAATCTCAGATACGTGCAAGTAAGAATCCCTTTTAACAACTGAGAAACATATGGCAAAAACATCGCACTTCAGGTAAGAAAGTGTCCGTAAACGATTGTATTTTTCCTGGAAGAGAAATAAATAAAAATGAATTAAAAACTAAAAATAAGAAATTAAATGAATGCCAACTTTTAATTTATTTCTTCATGCAAAGTAGAATTGACAATTATATTTAATTTCTAAAATATCATATTACCAAAATGAGGGAAAAAAAAAAATTTATCTATGTGACAATAAGGTTCTCTTAATATATTAATGTCTACAGTAAAGTTCTTTTAAGCCAATATTTAATGTTTACTAGTGCATACCTAGACTATTCTGTGAGAACTTAGAATGAGAAAGTATCTTTGGCTCATTTGTTTTATATGATAGTAAATAAATTTAAATAAATAAATTTGCTTTCACAATTATCTCCCAGTTAATGGATGGGTGCTTATAGTAGGTTTTTTTTTTTTTTAAAAAAAAAAAAAAAAAAAAAAAAAATCACCAAAAATACTTTAGGAGTGATATGCAGTTTTTGTATTTTGTTCAGCATCATTTGATGATGGCAAAAACAATTTCCAGTTGTTCTCGGTGAAATGAAAGTATTGTGTAAAGTTAAACCATACTATGGAAAGAGAGATAGATAGGTTTGTTGTTGAGCGCTACATGTATACATAAAAACAAACATCTGCTCAAGCACATTGATCCAGATTAAAATAGATTTCAAAATAGATGCTAAGAATATTTATATAACACCTAATAATATTCATATAACCCATCATTAATAGCATTTTTTATATATCTATACACATATAGTTACATATTATAGACCGTACTAGATTATGACGTAATTTCACCTTTGTAAATATAAGGCTAGGTTACAAATGCATTAAATATATAGTCTTTTCCTATATGTTAACATCATGAGAACTAAGTTTATTCCATAAGACATTACTTGCAAAAAAGAGAGTTATTTCCCTTGATACATAGCTTTACATAAATTAAAATTTTTTTAAGTTATTTAAAATAATTTTTTTTTAAATTTTTGTCTTTCGAACTTAAGAATTCGAACAATATAAATTACAAATATTTAATTATAAAATTATAGGCAACATTAATAAAATAAACAAGTCTTAACACACAATTTTAAATCAACACTGTGATTTTCATAATGCTTGAACAGTCAATGAGTATTTTGCATCTAAAGATTACATGAAACTGTCATATCTTTTGTAAAGTCAACAAACACTCATTAAACATTGGGACTTGTCATTTTCATAATGCTTGTAGTAGAGACTTTGTAATCGTAGATACCACTATAGTATGCCATTGAACAATACTGGTGTCAGACACCTTTGAATAGCCACTCACACTAATAGTACTTGCTTGATAATACTTGCTTGAATAGTAATCCGTATAGTGATCCAAAGTGAGAAATAGCATATTGGGTAGAGTAGAGAATAGCGGTTTGTATAGTAATAAGAGGATAGACTAGAAATGGTGATCAATTAGACATCACACTACTTCCTACTTATGCGCTTCCTCTATGGTCACATGGTCTACTTAAATCAATAATGCCTACGTTTGCTCACTGACAATCTAGGTTCAAACTTAAGTGTCGGCAGCAATACTTTATTCCCATATAGCACCGCCCCTTTGAGATAACTTCCTGTCAAGTCTATATTTCTTCAATATTCAAATGTTCTGTTCCTGTTCTTTTTCTTTACCTCCTTGGTTCACTAATATCTTGTGGCATGTGTACGTCAAACAGGTTATACAATATTTTCCATCAGTACCTCTTTTTGTGGACTTACTAAATCAGCAAATCTCCGTTTTAACTGATTAAGGTGTCACTTATGTTCTCACATTTGTCCCTGTATGTCATTTTGTCAATCCGTTTTTTAATAACACCATCTTCCCAAAATTCCTTTCCACATTGGTACATTTTAAAAAACACTATCACTAGGTTTAAAATATTTATTTATATTATTTTGACTCCTTTATGTTCTAATCTCCCATTCTGGTAGTAATTTGTTAAATACGGACTTAATCTTCCTGGCATATAATCAACTTTGCAGATGACATTCCAGACACGGTGTTTATTATGTAAACACTCAAAAATTGTTGTAGCATTTCTTCATTTGACTTCTCTCCCTCTGACGTTTTTAGTGCCCTTCTAAATGTATCAAGCAGTTCCGCTTGTCCGTTTGATCTTGGGTGATAAGGGGAAATTGTAATATGCTCTATTGCTAATGATTTGTAAAAAAAACTTACATTCACTTGACATGAATGGAGTCCTGTTATCCAAAACAATAGTCAGGAACACTGAACCTTGAAAAAAATCTCATGTAGGAAATTTATTGTTACCATGGCAGTCAGTTTTCTACATTTTAATATTTCTGGCCATTTAGTGTAAGTATCAACTACCACTAGATAGTATGCTCAATTTAAGTCTTTTCTCCCTACCCAACTTCTTTTTTTATATATACAAGACTGATTGCATAATTAAAACCATTATTAGTCTGAAAAAGTATTTACTCAGAACAGCTCACAAAGATTTTTTTTTCAATTTTGTCATTCATTTATCACTATGTGTCTGAGATTATATAACAAAGTTGTTGAGAAATGAAGAAAAGAGAAAATAACTTGACCAGTAGAGGATAACTCTATAACACTTTTCTGCAAAACTTTGAGTTAGCCTTTAAGAGTTTTTATTTTATTTACTAAAATAAATAATATATATATATATATATATATATATATATATATATGTGTGTGTGTGTGTATATACATACAGATTCATAGGTAGTATGTGACAAACCACCCACAAGATGCCAGAATAGACATTGTAGTCAGTGTAACATCCAGGTACATCAATGAGTTGATAACGTCCTAGCCACCAAATGCAGATCAGCACCTCACATTTAAACATGTGGTCAACCCAGCAGTGCATAATACATGCATGTGTGGAAAAAAAAAAAAAAAAAGACAAGCAGATATATAAACACCCACCTGAGAGAGAGAAAGAGGATAGTTTCTTACATTCATACGAGAATGTAGGGTATACATTCAGAGAGATCCTGGGGCTAATGGCTAACAATAATCGTCAGTTATCTCCTGTTAAATTTACCTCTAAAAGTTCCCCAGGAGATAACTGATAACTGACATCCATTAAACATGGCATGTGGAACTAGAACAGTCTACCCCAGTGAGTGAAATAAAGGGTTCAGTTTCAACATTCCAACCACCTGAAGAAGGCCAGTAATAAATATGGCGACAAAGATGAGGACAATAGACCGAATAATGTAAATAATACCTCATCTCAGAAATATAGACAGATACTAGACCAGGATAAATTTACAAGTGTACCAAAAAATAATGTAAATGGTGTGTAGGTTGCTGAAAGGTAAATGGTGTGTAAATTGTGGATGTGTTCATAGTTGATGTTGCTGAGGGTTACTTTGTTTTCTTTTGTTTTTTTATTACTTCTATTATTTATTAGATGTTTTTAGAGTTAGAGGCATGTATATTTGTGTTTTTGACAAGTATGTTGTGCATTGAAGTTGGTTTTTCATACTTGTTCAAAATGGAAACTTTTTCAGCTATGGTCTTAAGGGAGTAGGATAAGCTATCTTGATAAATGAGAAGTAGCCAGTTCAATGTAATTATTCATGAATTTCTTTTCATCAAGAAAATTCATTTCTTTTCATCATTCAAATGCCTATGAGGCATTTGAATTTATAAATAATGTTGGTCCTGTATACTTTGGACTTCACTGGACACTTGTACTTTCTAAGTTTGGCTTTTTTTTTTTGGAGAAGAGAATTAATCTGATATTTTTAGTTTGTTCAATTGGAATAATAATGCATTTTTAATAATATTCCTCATGCATCAGGTTTTAAGAAAATATATTAATACTGCTGTTATGTCTATGGACTGTTATTATTGCTATAGTCAGGAATTATGAATATGACTAATTTTCAATAACTTACACAACATTTACAATAGCACAACCAAGTTCCTTGAAAATGTTTTGTAGTAATTGTAAGAGTAAACAGAGCTCAGGACAACAATAAAAGTGCTAAGCTTTATTCAACTAAATGAAATTTGGCTACAAAAGGAAAATAGGAGTTATAAGTTAAATAGCCAACTGGGGTGAGTCCATTGCTTGTATATAGTGAACTACCACATAGTTAATAGATTAGCTGAAAGCACTCAGAATGAACATTCATTTGGACAATTTCTACACATTAAATCCCAAAATGGTCTTGTTTGCATGCAAGAAAAATGCAATAAAAAAAAAAAAAATAAAAAAAAAAAAAATGGAAGTACCCGGTCAGTCATTTTTAATGAAATATGTATTAGAAAGGGATTTAAGTTTAGGCTACTGAGCTATCTAGTATCAATTTCATTAAACAAGTCATGATGTTCAAATTTCAGAAACTCTAGGGTATCCAAAAAACATTTATACAATTATTCTTGCAGTTATCTCCAAGAAAAAAAGGATCCTGAATAAATGAGAAATATTTTGAAAAAAGTTCCTGCACAAGAGTATTTTTTAGTTTTGAAAAATTAATGTATCTAGGAAGAATGTTAGTGTTATAGATTTCCAGTGCCTCAGATGAATGACCACAAGAAGTTTAGCTCTTACAAGAACATGGTCTAACCAGCAGTCAGCACCTTTTAGTGAACATACATTAAGTGCATCATTCATATCCCTGTATTTCCTTTATGTTTGAACTAGATACTTGATATAAATAAGTTTATCTCTGCACAAAGTTGAAGAAACAAGAAACTATTTTCATTCATCTTTCCAATTCCATGTTGTCCAAGACAACTCCATCTGGACCAACTATAGTACTGAAGTTCTCAAACAATAATTTTGGCTGTTATAGAAACCCCATTTTGGCCATGTACCTATACAAAGAAGTGACAACATTTTATGATTATCAATTTCATTATTACAGTCTTGCTTCTTCAATTTAAGACTTTTTGGGTAAAAAAAAAAAAAAAAAAAAAAAAAAACTCACCTGACCAGGTGTGTCAAATATACTCAATACATAAGGCTCATTTTGAATAATGACAGTTACTGAAAAGAAAAGGGGAAAAAAGCAGATACTAATTAATTAATATATTTGAATATATTAACAATTGATTCTTGTATCCAAACTTCATGATTTTAAACATTCAGTTTGAATTAAATCTCATAATACAATGCATTTCTTTACAAAAACAATTATTTCCTAGCAAAGTTAACAAAGCATATCAATTAATTAAGAGTGATACCTCTTTTCAAATATTGCTTTCAGGATTACATATAACTTTTATTATTACACTTTTTTATGTTTTTATTATTTTCTTCATTTTTGGGGAGGTGAGGGGTGTTCTTTCACATTTTTAGCAGATCTCTTCAGGAATTCAAAATAAAGAAGTAACTTAGGATGAGACTTGCACTCACATCCCGTACCTTGGGAACTAATCTGTTATGGATGATGCTTTAGACCATTAGGCTACCAAAACAGTCATGATTAGGCAGGGTTTTCATCTGTAGTCTTTCTGCTAAGTTTTTCTTCCATCTTATTCCAAGCTGTATTGTCAACTACCTAGTAGTAGTATTAGAAATACAAATATCTACTGACATGGTTTAGAAGTGAAGAAACATTAAAATTAAGCCATGTATAAACAATACAAAACAGAAGAATGCAAAGTTCAACTACAGACACCATAAGATTTGAAAAATTCCTTGCTTATGGCAGTGTTGTACTGATAACATCTATTTGTCACTAAATATTAAATTCAAATATTATCTAAGGAAGTTTACAGTAATAAAAAAATTTAACAAAAAAATTAAAAAAAAAAAAAAACACTTCAGATCGAGATAGCAACATTTATTCTAAATGTTGTAAAGCTTAATTTTGACTAGTACAGGATAGCCAAAGTAGAAAAAATTTGTGAGAATTGAACCCATTAGATTAAGAATGGTCTGGGAGATTTGTCTACTAAACATCACTTAGTCTGGCACAAAACACAAATATTGAATTAACCCAGTGAAGATCAAACTCATTGCACAAGCAATGACCAGCAGGTACTATTTGTATTGAATGTACTATTGGCGGGAATCCTGCACAATATCTAACAAATAAAGAAATATTTCCCAAAGTCTTCCTTCCTTATAGTCAAAGGCAGATGCTATCATAAGTGTGCTGCCATAAGCAACATGAAATGTTTTATGATGAAAAAAAATAATGGGCTCAGAAACAATTTTGGAAATGACAAAATATTCAAAGTTAGTTGGCAACATCACAATAGAGGTACAATAACAAACAAATCATGTAAACAAATATATAGACAAAAAAAAAAAAAAAAAATTATATATATATTTTACATACACACACACAACTATATATCAATACTGCACAACACTTTTCCAGCTCAAAGAAAAGGAATGCATACAAAAAAAATGATAATGAACATTATGCTTTTCAGCATGCAAAGAAAATCTTATAGAGAAGAAAGATTCCTTTGAAAAAAATAAAAATTGCTTTATTTTAAAAAATCTTTTTTAAGATTTCATAGTTAAACAATACAGTGCCATAATGGCAATTTGAGTTTGATGAGGATCAAGACACTACAAGAAGTTTAATAATTATTAGTCAATATCTATAGATTTCTTTATCAGTACAATAATGATCTTTTTTAATTTTAATTGTTGCAGGAAGTTTATGCCAACAAAACAATTTGAATTTTTAGGAACAGTATTATCTAAAGTAGAAATCATGGGTTTTGTTTACATGGTTCTTCCCAACTACTGAACTAAAAATATGCTTAGTTACCACAAAATTATTTTAATCTGAAATAATTTCTGAAGAGGATGAAAAATTGAATTTATATCATTGGATCTGAATCTAATTTTTGTTTTACATTTCATATAGTCAATGGCATATTGGAATATTTCTCACCATTAAGTACTTTTTAAAAAATTAAATTTATATAAAATAATATTGCAATTAGATTAGAATTATTGTGAAAAACAATCTGAAGGAATTTATTTTCAAATTATATTTTAATTGTAAGGACATACTTGAAATGACATTCAAGACTGAGTGAAAAAGCATTCCAACAAACAAAATCTACAGATACCAACAAAGTCAACAAATTTTTACTTATCCACCCAGACAAAATAAAAAAAAATACAATGAAACATTCCACAAAAACCAAATCTTTGTTATAACCATGAGATTGTGAAAGAAAGCAAATGTCTGTAAACTCACAAGTAATTAATTCCATACACTACAAAAAAAGGTTAAAATATTTAGTTAGCAAATCTGAAAATGTTACAAGAATTCTTAAATTCAATGAACATCTTATGATATATCTTTCAAAAGTCAACAAATATGAGCTGCTGTCTTGGTCAGTTAATAAACTAGATCCACATAAAACTTCTTAATACAAGAAACTGGAATAAAAATATTTTATAGGAATATATACAAATCAAATTTCAAAATCAGATTTCTGCATTTATAATTTATTTGGAACAAATTACACATTTAATATTTTTAAGGAAAAAAAGATTTTTATAAAATTTATGAAAAACTTTGAATTTCATAGAAAATGTTAATTGCCAACTGAAGTTTGTTTTCTAGGATACATTCAAAATGTCTGCAACAAGTGTTAGTCAGTATAAGTTTGAGCTGAAATAAAATGTCAGAACATCATAAAAGTTTACTTTTATATTATTCTATACTATATACAGACATGTACATGTGGAAATCAACAGGAAACTTCATTCATGTATATAGAAACACCTATAGTATAAATATAGATGGATACATACAGATCTTACAGAATTCTGACAGAAGACACCTACTTATCAATTTGAATTATACACCATTTCATATATAGGAGAAAGACATGGACACACACATTTTTGCATACAGGCAATGGAGGACACCATTTGGGGGGGGAATATGCACATATTTGTATGGTTGAAGTTGTACTTATTTATCAGACAATGGCAGGGATTTCTGACCAGGCTCTTAACTTTACTTCAGACCTTCACATATACAAAAACAAAATCTAATTTAATTCCTTAATTGATCTAAAGGTGAGTGGAAAATTACACAAAATCTACTAATATATTCATCTAATATCCCTCTTAAATATCCATATTGCTGATACCCAAGGAAGAGTAGACAGACAGATCTGCCTATGAAACTTTGGAGTTGGGATACTGAAGATAACATCAGTTAAATGACAAACTTTTTACATTAATCACATTTTGTATATATATATATATATATATTATATATATATATATATATATATATATATATATATATATATATATATATAAAAAACTACAAAACTTTAAACTCAAATGAAACTTATGAATCCCTTTATGAATCTTCAATCACTACTCAACTTTTTTAAAGATAATTTTATCATTGAATATTCCTGTGCTCACAATTATTAAACTTATTGACAATGTAAATGATATAAAGAGTGTAATAATCAGTTTGTCAACTTTTGTTGTTTTTAAGTATGGTGTCAAGTCAGTGTTGGAAAAAAAAAAAAAAAAAAAAATCAAAGCTGGCTGAATTGATCAAAAAATTTTGAAAAATGTTTTGTTTGATCAACAACATTATGAAACCAAGAACAGAGATGGTAGACCTAAAATGTCTGATAGGAGAGCAGTTACCAGAGAATTGCAGAAAAACTACAATCAGATCATGGCTAGTGTAAAAACAGAGACAAGGATTCAAGAGTCTGTCAGACAGATAAGAAGTCAGGATTCATACAAAGAAGTTTGCAATATGTAGCCCTGAAAATGATCCACAGATACAGACTGCAATCTGCAAGACCATCAAAGAATTAAAATAATAAATTAGAAATTTTTTGCCAGAGTTTAAAGTTTTATACCAGATTTTATATTCATATACATATGTGTGAGTATATAAAAAAAAGTAAAGCTGATTCAATCAGTAGAAGCAGATAGAAATTAAGATAAAAAAGTCTCAGGATTCTAAATCTAGTCTTTTATAGTTTCCTTTCTTCTCAATGTTATTCCAGTTTTGTGTTAAAATAGACACTTCTTGGGAGCTTTAACTTTCATATGCATGTTACTTCTTTCATCTTATCATTGGAGAATCACTGTCCTCCTGTAGGGTGGATGAGAAAGTTGTCCAGCCATGTGTTATAGTTACTTGTCTGGTCTTTAGGCTGCTCTGAGGCCTTGCAAAAGCATGTCACTCATCTCCCTTACTGTGTTAAATTAAATGCAACCTTTTATGAACATTCACCAACTTCCCAAGAATATTTGTAAGGCTTTCTCTTTCCAAAAACAAAAATTCTTTGATAGCTTTTTTTGCTTTCTATGGGCATTCTGAGGGGCAGCCATTTTATAAGAGAATTATGTACAAGAAAAGAAGAGCTAAATCCACACCTCCCCATGGATTTCGAGACACTTTATGGCTCATAGTATAGATAGACAGATAGACAGATAGATAGATAGATAATTAATACTAGTAAAATTTTTCCCACTAAGAAGACTGATATTACCTTCAGAATCCCGACTCCAGAGTTTCATAGATGGATACTCCGGGAATCTCACCACTTACCCATTAGGAGGTATCAGCATAGACAGACACACACAGAGTGGTAGAAAATAAAATTTCAACACTCTTAAGGATGATGACAATTAAGACCTAACTACAGTATGTGCATGTTGCAGCTGTTCTGATGAGATTTTAAGTCTTTGGCCATCTTGTGATATAGTAACATTTATATCAGTGCACTGACAGTGTCTGAGTTTTCAAAGTATGAAATATGGTGTAATAAGGGTCAGTGAAAGCTAGTCAAATATCACAATGAAGCATACGTGCATTTCTTCAATTAGACTAGGAAATGTGCAAATAGATTCAGGTGAGTCAATTGAGAAGGCCATTCCAGTACCCAAACCTTATACTTTGAAAACCAAACTACTTGGAAATTTTCTTAGGATTTCCTCAGGGTGATATGACTCAATTACTTTTTCAGATACTTAAAGTAATGTGCTCCTGACCTGGCTTCTTTCTCTCTAAACTCTACAAT